CCCCCCCCCCCCCCCCCAATACCCCCTATACAGTGGATGGCTGTTTACTGACTGGTCGGCAGACCGCTGACCGGTAGGCTGCAAAACGGTCGGCGGTTGGAGTAGGCAGTCGGCGGGTATGCAACCCTGGTGCCAAGTATTTATGAGATGGTTGGGGACACAAGAAGAAAAGCTGTCCTGCTAAAACTGTGACAGCAAGTCATGGTAGTGAGATTGATGAGCAGCTTGGGATTGATCTCACTGACTAGCTATCCTCCTCCAAACTCTTGTTGTAAGCATGGAGCATGTGTGGTATAATAATGCACAAACACATGCGGAGTAGCGTTTGTGTGATTTCAATCGACTGGGTGCTTCTCGTGGATTTCTTTCTCGTATCTGCATTTCCAGAGTAGGTAGTGGCTGAATGGTACACACATCAAGCTATTGATAAACAGATCAGGATGCAAGGAAGTTGAAGGAACCATGCAATGAGAAATACCAATATTCCAGAATGCAAAATCTCACAGAATACCAAACGTGATTTAGCCGAGTTGAAAGCAGAAAACCAAAGCGGAATGTAACGGGAGTTGAACCCGTGTTTTCAAACTCACAATCTGACACTTTGACCTATTAACTAGTGTTAAGTCATATTCGCTGAAATGTGGTCCTGACTTTCTCGCTCGGACCGACAAAGTGTTTTAGTCTGTCGTGCTTACCATTTTCACCAAGCGAGTATGCTCACTACCGGCCTTGAACCGATAACCCATCGGAAACATATTTGAATTTTGAAGTCAATGGAACAAGAATGTAGTATCCCTACTGGCGGTATGACTGCCCTAGTCTACTTCTTACTACCTCTACTCATGCTAGCCTCTCTACCACCTCTCAGGCCATCCACGCAGCACTCGCCCAATGCTGCTTGAAGACTCTGTGTGCATGCAGGCATCCTCTGCCAACACCAGGTGAGAACTGCAAGTCCTCACTGCCTTCCATCGCAGCTGACCTCCACACTCGGCCGCTCGGCTTCATTGCGCCCAGCCATGGCTGGCGCTCACTACAGCCACTGCAGCTGCTCTCCTTCTTCAGGCACTGCCTCCTGTTCACCGCGCAACAGCACTCATGTTATGCAGCATCCTCCTAAATGTGCTCTGCCTGGCGGTCTCACGACTTTTGTGCTGGAGTGGAGCCCGCGTCCAGACCAAGTAGGCAGTGCCTGCGGTCTACTAAGACTGTGTCCAGGTCCCAGCCTCTTTATCTAACTTGCAGGCTGGGCCTACCGGTTATATATACCGAGGTTGGCTACCGGTGACCAACCCATAGCTCTCCTCGCCGGCCTTAACTTGGGGTCTGTGTGACATTCCGAGAATACATTTCCGGTGGCAGTCTTAGGCCGCGGAGGGCTGGAGCCTCGCAACGACTTCAAATGATGATGGAGACAATGATCCCACATGCGATTCCCTTTGAAAAGGAGTAAGTTGTGTCTGAATGATAGTACCCACATGAAGCTGTTGTTGATAAACAAACCAGGAGTTCAAATCTTGATGGTAGCAGTTATGTTAGGGGATCTGGCTCCTTTGGAAAGGAATAGGTCATGGCTGTCAGTAATCGACCCAAACATGGTGAGATAGATCAAAAGGATGAACTCAATTACAGTGTTCCTTCATAATTTTTTTCCCAGTTAGAATTTGAAGTTATTAAAAATTTGAAATCGAGTAAAGAATAATAACTTAATAAGTATTCCTTGTAAATGTGACACAGGTATGATGATGGAGATCTTGCGGAACGACAAGCCGAACTCATCCGCTTCCAGCAAGATAGTGTGCGTCATCTCAGCAGAGAGGTTAGAGCTGCCTTCCTGCGCCCCACTGTCTAATTGCATGACCTGTCTGGTCTGGCTTGGTGCTTCGGAAAGCAGATTTGGTCCTGGAGTTGGTGGTTACAACACAATTTGCCTTTATATAGTTGATGATGGTGACCACACGATGTGCCGTTAGAGTTGAGGGGGACCACTTGATTTGACATTTGATTCAATAGATTTTTCAATGTTGGACCACCAGTCCAACCCCCTTACTGTCCATCCAAAACTTGTTGAAGACTACGGGGAGCATCCCACTCGGGAGAGGGCCGTTTGTGCAACGGTGGTGGGGTGCACTAAATAAATAGTAAATTACTAAATTCCCATTACCCCGATTTTGGCGATTTTTAATTCTGATTTCCAGTGACGAATGATTCTGAAAGTAATCAGGCATGTAGGTTTGCTACACGATTCGATTGATGTTTTCCTGGGTCGTGAAGTGGTGTACGAGGATTCCAACCTCGGCAGGCCTAAGGGCCCCCTGTTGCATCTGTGCCCGCCCTAAGTGAAGGCGGGCCTAACAAATCACGAGAGGCCCTCAGCTGTCAATTTCGTATTTGGGATCCAGGCAGTTGTGACGCGCCAGTTGGTTGAAGGGAAACACAGGCCGAGCGGCGAGCAACAAAGATATTCCACGGCCTTCTGGGCTGTTCCAGGAATGCAGGCCCTGGGCGAGAATCACAGCCTCATACACTGACAGTTGAGAGGCCCAACCGAAAAAGGCCCAGTGGCTGCAACACAGGCGCATCATCCTGGAGCCTACCGGAAGCTTCTGGGCCCAGGCCAGTCCAGCCAGGCTGCGAAGGCAGGAGGCTCTTTCCGTATAGGAAAGAGCTCGCCACGGGCAGCCTCGTTCAGGCGCTTGCATGCTAGCGGCAGCGCTGCTGGAGCGGATGCTCATGGGCTGCTGCTGGCGCTGAGAGGCGAGGTTCTAGCGCGTGAGGTCGTGCAGGGAGCAGGACGCAGCTGAGGGCAGCGCCATAGCCCAGCCTCCATAGCTGGTTGGGCTTGGACTACAGTGAGGTGCAGGGGTGGTCTTCGGGTGTATAAAGGGAGACGCGGGAGTAAGACGAGGGAGAGGGAGAGAGATGATGATGATGATGATGTGAGGGCACATACCTGGTATTGGCGATGGTCTGCATGGGCGACATCTTCAAGTACTTCGGAGGCTGCTGACGTCAACAGTTGCATTGTCAATTAGTAGGCAGAGAGTAGCTGTGTAGATAGTAGGCTGGGCGCCGGGCGCCAAGTAGGAAGATAGGGCCTGCACACTCATGTTGGTGGTGGCGAGAGCAAGCTCTCATTGACATTGGTTTTCAGTGGTGCATTTCTGCTTTCTGGACATTGTGATACTATCTGGCCTTCAATGTGATTGTGCAGTCTGCTTATTGTCATCTCGCTATTGCTCATTTTCCTTGCAGGTGATTTAAAAAAGAAGAAGAAGAAGAAGAAGAAGAAGAAGAAAAGCAGGAAGAATTCTTGTATCGATTTTGCGCCTAGAACATGAGGAGAGGGGAATGATTTTGACGTAAGTATATGCTAGACGGTTCGATTGATCTTTTTTTAATTAATTTGAACAATTTACTTATGGTTTTGCTTGTTTTTCCACCAGATTCTACGATTGCAAGAGCGACTAAGCAAGTACGAGTCTTCGGAAGATGGAGGGAATACGAGGGTAAGACTCATGGTCCTGGGCTTCCTATTCGACGTGTAAAAAAACAGTACACACTGCTCACATTGTGAAGGATGGTGCTCATATAGTGGAGGTATACACGGCTGGAGATCTGGGGCATGCCCAGCCTGAAACGTCACCCCTATCGGGTCACATGGACTTTGATAAAAAAATGCATTTGGTTTGGCCCGAATCTCGTGTCCTGGACCAAGTTTTTGTTTGTTACACTTATTGTGATTTTCTTTCCCCCTGATGTGGTGTAGCCTAAGCAGCATCCCTGATTTTTTTGTGCTTTTTGGTTGCCGGAAATCTACTACCTTCTATTAAAGTTCTTCCGGTCGGGTGTAACCCTACGTCGCGACCTAACCCGACTGGATTCTGCCCATCTGTGAGATGGGCCGAATTTCCCGGCCTCTATCAACGGCTTGTCTGAAAATGTGACTGAAAAAAAGGAAACTACAGGCGGCGCGACTACTCACCTGTGTAAGAAAAAAAAGAAAACGCGTAAACAAAAAAAAAAAGAAACGTGATGGGCCTCGGTGCACTGCCCACGAGCTGTCACAAAAAGGAGCGAAAAAAGAGAGCAGATGGAGGAAAAGAAAACCAAGGAAAATGGGTGGATACTGGGCCTCGATGCACCACTTGGTCCTGCTTTTTTTTGGGGGGGATTGTTTTCATGCGTTTTTCAGATCAGATGGCAGGGACCCGTGGATTATCAAAACATCAACAAGCCCTCCCAAGTGAAATATGGCCGTGGCTCATCCCATACCATTGCATTTGGCGAGGGCTGTTTGAACTCGCCGTCGAACTCGCCATGGGGCTGCGTTGAAATGATGGTCACGGTGGCTTTCTCTCTCTCTCACACGCACACAAACACACGTGCACACACACACACGCACATTCTCAGACACACGCATGCACGTCCTCACACACACACACACACTCACATGCACGTGCTCGAGCGCGCACACACACACACACCCAAAACACACACACACACACACACACACACACACACACACACACACACAGAGCGCACACACACGCACACACACACACACACACACACACCACTTTTCTCATGGGTATCCTCAGCAGACTGTTGGGGTTGAACCTCCTGATGAGTCGGTGAAAGTCCGACGAAACAGTCTGGCACAGTCATGCTTATCCTGGGTGTGCGGAAGTGCAGCCTCTCTCTCTCTCTCTCTCTCGCGCGCGCGCGTGCGCACGCTCTCTCGCTCTCGATCTGTCTGGCTCCCCCTCTGTGCGCCTGCGGTGTTGTGCCTGAAGATGTGCAGCGTTCCATTCACTCTTGGCTTAGCGAGGAATAGGTGGGTGCCCCTGGCCTGGCGAAGTGCTCCCTCCCTCTCTCCACCCTCCC